TTATTTTTCAAATCAAAACAATATTTGGCCAAATGACCAAAACGACCACAAATATCACATTTAAACACATGAGCATGCTTATGACAAGGAGCATTAAAATTCTTATGTTTGTGTGCATCATAACAAAACTTAGCTAAATGACCTTGACGGCCGCAAATTGAACACTTATAAGTTTTGCTATACATGTGTGCATAATGAGTGGATGATTTTGACTTAGCACACATATCCATATCCATAAGCCTCTTATGATTATTAATGCATGTTTTCAAAGTTGAATCTAAAGATGAAATGCTTTTATTCATAAGATTCAAATCTTCATTTTTAGGCACATATGCATTTTTAGAAGTAGAACATAAATAGTCATTTATAAATGAAGCAGTATCATTTTGTATGTTCTCTACTTCTAACATGGCATTATCTTTTTCATGAGATAAGCTAGTTATAGATGTGTTTAATTTTTCATTTTCCAAAATTAACATGTCATTGTTTTCTTTAAGCATGGTATTTTCTTTTGCAATGACATCCAATTTTGACACTAGCTCCCCATGATCGAATTCTAAATTATCATGCTTGCTTTTTAAATCAATAAAATCTTTATGCAAATTAGTGTAGGCATGCATTAATCTATCATATGCACAAGCGAGTTCATTGATGGATATATCACTTTCGGATTCCGAATCGCTTACCACACTAGGGCTATCGCCTAGTGGACGTGTGCATGATGATGCTCCACACTCACTTGAAGAATAATCCTCCAAACTACGTTGGATTTCCTCCAAGTTGCCTTGATGTGCTTCTATGAATTTCCATAAATTGTAAGCACTATCAAAATGAACAAATTTGTTAGAAAATGATGAGTCAAAGGCATTAAGCAAATATTCTAACAAAAGCTTGTTCATATTAAACATTCTTTTATCATTGCTACTCCACTTAGATTTTTCCGAAGTGGGTATAATATAAGCATTTTCAATAACTTCCCATAAATCGGATTGTTTAGATCTAACAAATATGTTAAATCTAGAACACCATTGGTCATAGGGGAGATTATCTATTTTAGGAGCAACAATAGGATCATAGCCTAAACAAGATGCACAATGTATGTCCATAATAAGAAAATGTATGCAAGCAAGATACAAATAAAGCTCAAAATTAGATTAGCACAATAAGCTAACTTGGATCTTTAACTCAAGGCGATTAGACCTTAAATCAAAGAGCACCATCTAATCCGATTTTATGCTAATTAAAACTAATTAATAAGTTATCCTAGCAAGTATGAAATACAACAAGTTATATGAGCTAGGATAAGCAATATGAACAACAAGATATATCCTAACAAAGAGATATATATGCAAGGATATATAAACTAAGGGTGATATAAACATAAACAAGATAAACAAGATAGTGGATAATATGAACTAAGAGCAAATGACAAAGGCGATATAAACAATAGGCATGAATGTAAAAGAACGCCAATGACAAACTCAAACACACGATATGATCATGGAGTTCGGACCTTCCGTCCTACGTCTCCGCTCCCCACTCCCGGGGAGAATCCACTATCACAACCGGGTTTTCTACGTTCACCCGAATAACGTTTACACCTCACAATTTCTCTCACGGAGTTCGGTCCCCACGACCTACGTCTCCGCTCCTCACCTCGAGGAGATCTACACTATACACTCTCACAATGTGGCTACACTCCACCCTCACAATACGGTTTTTTAGTTCACCGAAAACTTCACAACACACTCAATGTAACAAATATAAATTTGTTCTCAACTATGGATGAGAACACAATGAAAGCTCACACTCAATGTTACAACTCTCACAATCCCAAATATATTATGAATGTAACTACAATAAGCTCAAGTGGGTGTGTGTAACAATGAGATAAAATCAAATCTAAACTCAATACAAAATTAGCTTTAATAGAGATGATAATTAACAAATAATTAATACATAAAAGCTAGAGTTAAGTTTAGGAAAACTTCTCTAGATGACAAGAGAGAGATGGATTGAATGCCCAAAATGTAATTGATAATCTCCTCAAGCTCTTGTAAAACAGATTCACCAAACTGAAACACTCAAATGCTTAAAAGCTTATAAACACACTTAAACCAACTTAAACCCTTGATTAAAACTCTTTAAAACATTTCTTGCTTACATGAAAACTGAGATCAAAGAGGGTTTTTATAGCCTCCAAGACCTCACCCAAAAACCCAAACAAAATGACCAAAAAACCATTCAGGAAAATCGCGGTCGACCGCGAGCAAAGAAAGAAGCGGAGAAAAGTTCCAGACAGTTCGTCGGTCGACCGGCGGAAAAATCGGTCGACCGGCGGTACTGTAGCAGGTACATCTAATTTTATAAAATCGGTTAAAAATAGTAAAACAGATCCAAAAATTATGAAATTTTGAAGAAAAGTTCTAGACATGTATACAAACATGTTAGAGAAATAATTTCTGAAAAATATTTTCCCAGTTGAGAGAAATAAATGTTTGAACACAGAAATATAGTTTCTGAAAATCTGCTGTGATATACGATTTTGTAAAATCAATTAGGCATAGTAAATCAACTCCAAAAATAGTAAAAACTGGATGAAAGTTTCTAAACATGCAGATAAACATGTCAGAGAAAGAATTTTTCAAATATCACTTCTCATTTATGAAAAATCATCAGTTTTATAAAACATGCACGAACATGTGCATGAACGAAAACGTGAATTTGTAAATTCCTTTAAACATAACAAATCAATTCCAAACTTGATGAAACTTTGAGAAATGTTTGCAAATGATATTTTGAACATGTTACAAAAAGAATTTTCTAATTTGCATTTCTCAATTGTGAAATCTCATTATTTTGCAAAAGTATTCAAAACATGAAAAACCCAAAACCATGCATGTATATATATAACTATATATATACATAGAAACCAAATACGTGTGTGTATATGATATTGAGCTTAAGGTACTTAACACACATAATATAAAACCTAAACTAAATTACCCAAGCAATGATCTTGATCTTCAATAAGCTTGACTTGGTACACTTTGCGGATGAAGCTTGAACTTGATCTTTTGGATATGATCGTTGAAGCGCAATCCATCCATCCTCCAACTACGTTGTTTGTCTACAATACATAGGAATACACAAACACTAGACAAACAACATTAGTAGTAAATTGTTTGTAAATCATCATCAAAACAAGAAGGCCAACAAAAAGGTCACACCCGAATCTCGTTTTTGGCCTTATTTCAAGGTATTAAAATTTAAATACACTATATAAGTCTTCATTCATTATTATTATAATTTTAAAGTCACATTTCATATATGTTAATAGGAATATATAGGACTGTATCGGTGCTATTTATGGGACCCACATTCCATGTATGGTGTATGGCGAGGACCAAACTCCATATCATAATAGACATGCCTATCTTTCTCAAAATATCCTTACAACATGCACATTTGATCTTGGGTTTATTTATGTCTTAGTGGGATGGGAGGGATCTGCCAATGATTCACGGGTCTTGAAGGATGCAATGAGTAGAAGTGCATGCAATCTTCCACTCCCAAATGGTAAATATTTTTTTATCAAATTGTTAGATTTTATATTTATTGATTATAATTCTAAAGAAATATTAATGCAGGTAAATTTTATCTAGTTGATTGTGGTTACCCAAATAGGCTATAATTCTTGGCTCCATTTTGGGGTACAAGGTACCACCTTAAAGAGTTTGGTCCAGCTAACAACCGTCAGCGATCACACAATGCTCATGAGTTATTCAACCATCGACATGCATCTCTTAGAAATTGTATTGAACGTATTTTTGGCGTTTTCAAGTCTAGGTTTACTATTTTTAAGTCTCAACCTCCAGGTTTTCCATATGAGACTCAAAAAAGTATGATCTGGGTATGTATCGGTCTACATAATTTTCTGAAGATGGAGAACTCTAACGATGACTTTGAAGTTTCTGATCTTCCTCCAGAGGCACCACGCAATGTTGCTTCGATTGATGGTGATTCTAATGAGGACGATGACCTACAAACTCAACAAGCACAGTGGACAACTACATCACGTTGGAGAGAACAAATGACAAACACAATGTGGGAGGATGAGACAAACGTAGCCCAAGGAGTCTAGCAAAGTTATATGCTGGTAGATTATATTTGTAACAGTTAAGATTTAAGTTACTGACTTAGACTTTATTTGTAATAGTGGTGACTTTATTATCATCATTAATAAATGTAGGAATGATTAAATAATTATTACAATTAAAATTTTTGTTAATATAGCATAATAGTTAAAATAAACATCAATATATTCAAAGATTGATTAATATTAATATTATTAATATTATTATATTATTTTTAATATTTTATATTAAAATAATCTTAAGGATAATATTAATATATATTATAATTATTATTTATTTAATCATTTGATGTAATATCAAGTTAAACTTGAACTTAATTGATCTATAAATATCATATTATAAAAAGATGTCATACCAATTGTCTCATTATTCCATTTTATCCTACTTTATCCCACTCAAATTATCATATTGGAACAATTTAACCCAATTTGCCCCAGAGTGAACACTCAGGGCCTGTTTGGATTCGTAGGGGGTGAAGGGAAGTTAAGGGAAACTGAGTGAAGGGAAGGGAAAGGAAAGGAAGGGAAGGGAAGGGAATTCCCTTCCCCTTGGTTACACCCCAATTTGGGGGGTAACAATTTTTATACTATTAGGGGGTGAACCAAGGTGAATGGAGGTGAATTAACTTCACCTCCTAAGTGTTCCCAAACAAGGTGAATGGAGGTGAATGGTTCCCCTACCTTCCCTTCACCCTCATTCCCCTCAATCCAAACAAGCCCTCAGGGAATGCGGACCCGACCCGCTTTGAACCCTTGGATGATCCACTCTGGATTTGGCCCACGTAAAACATCATTAATCATCTTCTCCTAAAACCCTCGAGCGTGTAAGCACGGCTCAGTCGCCATGGCCACCTCCTCCTCCCTCCTCAAACCAAAACCCTCATCCTCTCTCTCAAACGTCACCCTCCTCAGATTCCTCTGCGCTTCACCTCGCATTCCATCAGACAATCCCAATCCCGAGCCCGAGCTCTCTCTAACTCGCCTTCAGAATCCAAACTCCTCGACTCTTCTCCTCCCTCATCAAAACCCACCACTCCTTCCCACCTCCCTTCACTTCCCCTGCCCCAGCCTTCACCATCCCCTCCCTCTCCTCCTCCCTCTCCGTTCTCTCCCTCCCTCTCCCCTCCACATCCCCTCCCTCCTCCTCCGCCGCTTCTCCATCCTCCGCCACGGCCTCCCCTTCCCCCAACTCCTCTCCTTTTTCAATTGGTGGGTTGAAACCTCAAAAACCCCCGAAACCCATTTCGCCCACGAAGCGTTTGTCGAAATGCTCGACCTAGCCGCCAAACACCAACACTTCGAAATTTCATGGCATATTCTCAACACAATGAAATCTATATCCATTCCCATCCCTAGCTCCGCATTTTCTGCCCTAATTCGGCGATATGCACGTGCTGGGCTTCCGGAAGAAGCCATTAATGCATTTCATCGGATGGGTGATTATGGGCTCGAGCCATCGAGTTCTTCGTTCTCTCTATTGATCTCCTCGCTAGCAAAGAAGAGGTTTGGAAAGGAGGCACAAGAGGTTTTTGATTCCTTGAAGGAGAGGTTTTCACCCGATGTGGTTGTGTACTCTGCTTTGATTCATGCTTGGTGCCGAGCGGGGAAGATTGAGGAGGCAGAGAGGGTTTTTGTTGAGATGAAGAAGGGTGGGGTTTGTCCGAATGTGTATACTTATACCACGGTTATCGATGCGTTGTGTCGATGTGGGCAGATTCCGAGAGCTCAGGAGGTTTTGTGTCAGATGATTGATGCAGGTATTAAGCCCAATGCCGCAACGTTCAATAATTTGATACGTGCTCATGTTAAGTCAGGCAGAACGGAGCAAGTGCTTCAGGTGCATAATCAGATGAAACAGTTGTTGATCGAGCCAGATGTGATTACCCATAATTTTATAATTGATGCACATTGTGCGAAAGGGCAGAGGAACCTTGATGCTGCATTGAAGGTTTTGAATGTGATGATTGCTAAGGGTTGTTCACCGAATGCACACTCGTTCAATCCTATTTTTAGGTGCATTCTTGACGTCGGAGATGTTGGCGCTGCTCATAGATTGTACGATAAGATGAGGGATATCAAATGCAAGCCAAATACTGTGACATATAATTTGTTGATGGAGTTGTTTAGTAAGGAGAAGTCGACTGATATGATGATAAGAATGAAGAAGGAGATGGATGAAGATGGGATTGAGCCTAATGTGAACACGTATGGGGTGCTTATAAAGGCATTTTGTGGGAGGGGGCACTGGAAAAAGGCATACCAGTTGTTGAGGGAGATGGTGGAGGAGAAATGCTTGAAGCCCACGATTCCGGTGTATGAGATGGTGTTGGCATTGTTGAGGAGGGCAGGGCAGTTGAAGAAGCATGGGGAGCTCGTCGAGAAGATGACAGAGCGAGGATTCATGGCTCGGTCTTTTAGCCGATGGATTCTGGTAAAGATTTCTGAGCTCATTCTATTATTTAATTGTGTTCTTTCCTTTTTTGACATCTTGCAATTGATCAAATTGATAATAAAGAACAAGAAGAAAATATTGTGCTCTCTCATGCTGCACTGTAATCTCCCTTGAAGGGAAGAATGCAGCTTGTGCTGAGGTGAATCCTAATCATGAGTAGCAGAATACACTTCCCAGTTTATGTGCACTCTCCAATTTATGTGCTCTCTCTTGTCATCAACTGAAAATGTGAACGATGGATGCAATAAGATGTTTCAAACTTGTTATAACAGTGGTTTACCTTATTCCCCAGGATATTCAGTTGCTTAGTTTTCTCTTTAATCATAGCTTTGGACATCTTCCATTTCCCTTCTCATTCGGTAGATGAAATAAACTGTAGATTCTAGGTCATGATGGTTATTCGAACCTTTTCAAAATCTTCTATTATATAAAGTTCTTGATCATTGTTTAGTAGTGTCATTAATTGGTTTTGGTTCTTATTGAAGCAATATGATTCATTAATGAGTACAACCTGTTAATATAGTGTACAATTAGACACCGTGCTACTTTCTACTCAGCTGAGTCAGTACCATCTTACAAATCATAATAACACAGATCACACCACATTACCCTAACTAATCACTATCAAGCTGTAAAATATGGAATGCTTTAGAAATTTTAGAAGAGAAAATAGGGGACAGAAGTTAGGAAATCGCACCCTCGTTCAGATAATCTTTTATCTCATTGATAAAAAAGGGTGGCCCTTTCCTGAGATAACCAGGCCCTTTATTAGCAACTCCAATCAGAATGGATAAACAAATTAGATCTCAGTTAATTAATCCTACTTTAAAGAGAAGAATGAAGTATAAAAGATAAAATTAAATTCAACCAGAACTAAATTAACCAAATCTAAAATTGTTTATTAGCTAAAATGGGTCAAGTGATATGCCATATGGATGACGTCTGATTGGCTCAAGCAGCATAAAGCAGGGTAAATGACAGGCTGCATGAATCCAATTGCTCGTCACATTCTTGATCATTCATATAGCTTTCTGTGATGCTAATATTGGAACATTCGATCTTATCGACTGCATAACATGAACAAACAGTGTTTGCAGTGCACGCATTCAGTATGTCAATGTGAGGTATAATAAGACTAATTTAATCATCGTTCAAATTCTATGAGCTTGAGATGTATGCTTTTCTCTCTCTGTATTCCCACTACTTATGTGAAAACTTTCACATGCAAACTCCCTAGTTTATATTGGATCACTCATGTAATCACGTCAAAAATATTGCTGCTGGAAATCTGGGGTGCACATAGTTCAATGTGAATATATCTGCAAGAGTACGACCTCATGGGCATATATGCCTCTGTATTTATAGATATGCATAAAAACCAGAGGTAACTGGGATAAATAAAGTGCAATGATGTTTACATAGCTGCGATTGTTTCACTAGCAGACTGTTTCAGTTTTTAATCTGTTTATACTTATTTTATGTCTAAAAACACGTATTCTGAACTGTTAGATCCTTGTTATTAGAGGAACAAACATTCTGTTTTTCTTTTCATGCTATATTATGTTCTGATAATAAGTGTTCATTTTGTGCATAATTCAGATACTAATATTAGGTGCCTTATTGCCAGATTATGAAGTAGACGCTCTACTTGTGAGGTGTATATTGTTGAAACTATTGCCAATAGGGGAAGTTGACTACTCTGTTGGTTGTTGCTAGATTGGATCAAGTAGATGCTATCAATTACTACTCAATAGCATTAGTGGTGCATCAAACGAATATCAATCCTCTCCCGATTAAGGTGCATCTATGTATAACTTTGGAAACCTTGTGGCCCTGGGTTGAGATTGAATAACTTCATATTCATTCAGAAAGAAGTCATGGAGATTCTTTTACGTAAAAAGGGGTAGTAGTGCAAATTCAAGATATAGCTAAATTGATCTTGCTTGATACGAGAAAGTTTCCTCATCAGTCGCACCTATTGTTTAAATTACATTACATTTTATCTGTAAGCGCAGCTTATTTAGTTGTCCGATTAAAGTATTCCATCGACTGTATGTTCTTGTTCTAATTATCTCATGGAACTGCAGTGTAAAATCCTTGAGTGGTGGCTGTTATGTACAGGAGAGCTAGATATCAACAATACATTGCTTGTTAGCACTAACATTATGCTAAGAGATCAACTTTTGTGGTCTATGAGTCTATTACAGTTAACTCAGAAACTACAGAAACATGGTCATGCTGCAGAGACTACAGAGGTGTGGTTGCAATGAAAATTGGTCATATTTTGGGAAACCGATAATGCTTGATATATTATAGAAACATGTCAAGTGAACGGATATTGAGAAAATTATTAAAAAGAGTGAAATTAATTAGACTATCTTATTGATAATTTTAACTGAGTCAAATCATTCATGACTATAAGATTTCATTATGCTTTAATATTTGCTTCTGAAAATAAAAATATAATAGCAGATTTAAAACTTTTTTATGATAACTTTTATTTCAACTACGTCATGTGTATAAAATTATGGGAGTCAGATTCTCTCCACTATCAGAGAAGTAGTAGAGGGACCATCATTTTGATTATCTATTTGATGGTTAAATTTTATTTTTAATTGCAGATAAGGAATTAATGCAATTCATAAGGGTATGGTGAGCGTTAGATTTAGCAAGAATCATAGTCACTCGCTACATGATCAACCGTTGTTATCAAAAGTAGTGGTCTTTTCGCTAGAAAAATCTACTTTTCCTTAAAAAGAGTGTAATAGTAGATATTCCTCTCTTTTTTACCTACTCAATACATCTCAACTCATTCTTCTTCTTCTTCTTTTTTTATAGTTTTGGAAACCACCTTATCATTATATAGAAATCATCTTTCATTTTCTATTTATACTTAAACCATCCTTAAAGTTGGTTTTTGTCGAATCAACCTCCTCCTAGCTAAATTTTACTAAAAGTAAAAGATAACCTTAAAAATGCATGTTTAACCTACGTGACTAGTATCCTAATTAGACTTGAACTTTAACAAAAGAGTCACCCATCTTAAATATGAGTTTTTAACGGTATTTTTGGGCTTTTAGTGAAAATTTTGACTTTGAAATGGTTGATTGGAACAAAATCCATTTTAAAGATGATTTACATATAAATTAAAAATAAAAAGTGATTTCTATATAGGCACTGTTTGGCAACCAAAAAAAGTATCTTATCTATGAGCTTGTGTCTTATTGACTTGGTCAATAAGCTAGTAGAGCTGTTTGGTGACAAAAAATAAGAGAAGATTATTTTAGAGATTGTGTCTTTTGCAAGTAGCTTTTGAAAAGCTACCTCAAGTAACGTTTGTCTTTAGGAATGAGCTGCCAATTTTTATCTTCCATTTTTGCCCCTAATAATTCTAATTTTATATCAATAATATTGCATGTTTTTTTTAGTCATTTAATAAACTTAAGCTAGTTGTACAGCTACTTTTGCCAAACAGCTCTAGTCAATCAGCTAGCTACACAGCTAACAGCTTTCAGCTACAATTTCACAGCTTTCAGCTAGTTTAACAGCTTTCAGCTATAATCTCGCAGCTTTCAGCTAGTTTTGCCAAACAGAGCCATAATGACCTTATTTTTAAGTTGATTTATAGGAAAAACCCAAAATGCTTATCCTCACTTAGTTGGTTCACAAGAGAGATAAATATCAAAATTAGAGTAGGTAAGTGGTAATAAATGAGTTAAGAGGAGCTAACTATTAGGATCTTAGTCAAATTAGACACCAAACGTCTTCTTGAATTATATATTAAAAACACGTAAACGCACCCCACCCCCGGGGGAACCTCTCTCCTCTTTTGATTTTCGCAAAGACAACTCTCTCTTCTTTTGTTTTTTAAACAAATTTAGATGTTTGAGGGACTTTAGTTAAAATTATTAAGATCATAGGGTGCAGCACACAATAAAAACGTTTGAGGGTCTTAGATGAGAACAACCCTAAATATTAGTGAAGATATGTACAAGGGGTTATCTGCAATTTAACATCCAAACTTCTTTATATTCTTCGTCTTCAACCTCAGTGGATCACCGCCCGCTAACCCTCACCTCCTCCGAAATCTCATCAAATAGTCATCAATGGAGTTCGAAGCCCTGCGCTCGCTCTCCTCGAGAACCATGCGGAGACCCAACCATGTCCAAATTCAGAGCAAAGGCGAGTACGAATCTTTCTCAATTTCTCCCATTTTTTCGGTTTTTTATCCTGATTTTGGATTTGGGTTTGGTTCAGATCCTGAGAAAATGCAGCAGGATCCTTTGAAATCGATGGTATTCACGAGGGGTTTTATGATAAAGTTGCTGCTAGTGTCGGCAATCGTGTGGATCAGCGTTGGCTTCTTAACTGGTAATTTTTATAGAAAACTTGCATTTGAAATTTTTTTTATGCTTATTTAAAATTGTGACGTGGGTGGTGTTGGGCAATTGTTTCTATTCTTGAAGTACGAATTTGCAAGCATAAGGACCCAGTTATTTCAGATGAATGGGTGACGTTGGGCAAATTAGAAACTTCCTGCTTTTAACTCTATTTAAATGACTAAGCACACCCTAAAAAGACAAGTTATATCCATCTTGGATATTCCAAGTTCCGTCGAAAAAAGAAATTACAGATGACTGATTATTTTTATGTGTGAGTAAATGGTCCTGGTCCCACCACACTCTTGGCTGGTGTATAGTTGACGATGCGCACGCCTGAGCTGTCAGCTATTATCGATCTGGGTTGAAGGAGCTTGGATGTTTATCAATCAGCAACACACCAGACAAGAGTATAGAGGAACACACGAACCCCCGTTTACGCTCTCCCTTCCATGACCAACAGTACTGCTGCCAAGACATGTCGTTTTTCCATTCTGCTCGTCTCTATTTAGATAGGTCTAAGTGCTTACAATTTCTGGTGATCCTTATGATTAAGCTGATTAAAACATGGCTTTGCATTTGACCTGAATTGTTTCTATTTCTTCATTAATTGCAGCTCTTTATAAAAGAGAGAGCAAGGTGCTCAGTATCTTAGACACGATGGCACTTACACCAAAGCCACAACACCGTAAGTAAGGTTGTGGTTCTATATTATCCAAAGAGTTTTTCTATTGAAGCTGGTCTGATGTTTGCATTCTCTTACAGGTTGCACAATACCTCTTGCAGACGACCCAGATGCTGTGGTAATTCCAGAGAAGACTCCTGATAAGATTCCAGAGACTTTATCATATATATCAGTTGATCAGAGAGCAAGTACAATGTCACCACCCCTATTTGGAGGGAATCAAAACTGGTCGCAGAGAGAGGAGAGCTTTAAACTGAAAAAAACTATGAAGGTAAACGATTCACATTAAGATAAATTGTCATGTTCTCTATGAAATGTTATATATAGATATATCTCTGGGACCACTAGATTTGAGTAACAACTCATTTAGCAATTTATTGTGAATCCTTAATCTACATGTGGTGTCAATCTTCTCCAGTACTTTCATTTTGTTAAATGGGTTACCAAGAGATAAGTAAGTGGTGAGGCCCACTCCAATATTCACATCGAAGTAGGTAAACCTCACATTCTATCTCTCGCCAACTCGTTTTGCTAAATGAGTTGTTACTTAAATCTAGCGCGTGCGCGCGCACACACACACACTAACATATATATATATATATATATATAGAGGCCCACTCCAATATTCACATCGAAGTAGGTAAACCTCACATTCTATCTCTCGCCAACTCGTTTTGCTAAATGAGTTGTTACTTAAATCTAGCGCGTGCGCGCGCACACACACACACTAA